CTATCAATCTATCTATCTATCTATCTATCTATCTATCTATCTATTTGGCTATCTATCTATCTATCTGGCTATCTATCTATCATCTATCTATCTATCTATCTATCTATCTATCTATCTACGTACCTATCTACCTACCATCCATCAATTTACCTTTCTACCCCCTATTCACCTACCTTCCTACCTGACTATCATCCATCCATCCATCATCTATCTACCTACATACCCATCTACTCACTACCCACCTACCTACCTACCTATCAATCAATCTATCTATCATCCATCCATCATCTATTATCCATGCATCCATCTATCATCCATCATATATATCATCCATCCATCCTTCATCCACCCATCATCTATCTATCTGTCTGAATGTCTACCCATTTATGTATCTACCTACCTATCTAATCTATCTATTCTCTTCCTCTTTCTCTTTCCTTCATCTTATGTTTTCCTTCCTCCCTAACTTTTCCTTTAATTTTCTCCCTTCGATTCTTTCCTCCTTCCTTCTCCTTTCTCTTCCTAACTTTCCCCTTTCTTCCATTTTTCCTCCTTAGCTTTTATTCCCTTCCTTCCTTTTCTCCTCCTTACCTTTCTCTTTCTCTTCCTGCCTTTTCCTTTCTTCCATTTTCCCTCCTTCCTACCTTTCCCTCCTTCCCCCCTTCCCGTTCTTTCTCACTCCCATCTCCTTCTCCCCCCCCCGCCCCACTCTCTCCCCAATGAGCCCCGCAACCGCCTCCTAAAAGCCCAGTCAAACGCTCCTGAGCGAGAGTCGCTGTCCCGTCCCGCGCACGCGCGCTGGCTCCTTCGGCGCTCCTTTCTTCCCACCCTCGCGGAGCGCAGCGCAGCCCCTTCGACTTGCGCGGGGCGGAGGAGCTGGAGTGGGCGAGGCTCATCCCGGAAGACTTGCCACCCCCCCCCCGCCCTCCCTTGCAGGATTTCCCCGGGCAGGTGAGCCTTGGAGAGGCAGTGGGGCTGCGGGGTTTTTTCTATTGGGGTGGAGTGGTGAGAGCGTGACTGGGCTTTTATAAGCATCCTTAATGCGGGCGGAGAAGCTTGGAAATCCTGGCTGGGGGCTTGGTGAGTAGGTGGGTAGGTGGGTCAATGGATGAAGGGCTGCAGAAACNCGGCCAAAGGCCTCCCTCCGTTCTGCCCCGCTGCCCCCCCCCCCGTCCTCCTACTCACCGTGTCGTTGTCGGCGTCGCCCAGGGCGACGGCGCGCGGGAAGAGGCTTCCGCCGAAGTCGAGAGCTACCCGGCGGACATAGCTCACCGAGCGCATGTCCGCTCTAGCTCCGGCTGCTCTCTTTCTCCGGCTGCGGAGAGACTTCCGCTTCCTGCGCGTGCCCATCCATCCTCGGGAAATATGACTTGGGGAAGAGCCGCGCGTGGCCTGGACGGGACTCGCGCGCGCCCCCTGCCTGCCGGAGATGAAGTTTGCCAAGCGCTGGCAAGGAGAGAGACCTTGATCTGGACAAGCCAAAGTTAAACGAACAACAAACCGGGATAACATTGGAGAGAAAAATGAAACCGCGGGTCCAGCCCGCTGTTAAGCCCAGCAACCCTGATTGGCAGGTGGCTCCCTTCCTGGTAGCCAGTAATCCTCTCTCTTAACCACCGCGTCTAGAATTTATGTTGCTAAGTGGGGGGAAAAAATAGCTGTGAGCTTTGTCCCATTTTACGACCTTTCTTGCCGCGGTTGTTAAGTGAATCACTGCCTTCGTCAAATTAGTAACCTGGCTGTTAAGTGAATCCGGCTTCCCCCTCGACTTTGCCTGGTCGCAAAAGGGGATCACGTGACACACCCTCCCTCCAAGGACACCGCGACCGTCGTAAATGCGAGTCAGTGGCCAAGCATCTGAATTTTGATCATGTGACAACATGATCCCCAACAACCCAACCGATTCAACGCTAACCAATTTTTCAGGTTCTTCCTTTAGCTGTTAACATTGATTTCCCCCAGAATCCCACATTTAGTAGAGGATGTAAATTATCCAATAGGTGAAGAAAATAAGAAACAATTTGCCATTCCAGGCAACGAGTTGCATTAAGAGATGCTCTTTTAATAGAATCATTGATGGGGATAAAATATGTAAACTTTTGGTCTTCTGTGAAGAAATTCCATGGAGTAGAACTAAGGATCTAATTGGTATTACCAATAGCTACGTGAATACAAAACTTTATGGGTACCTTAATTGTATAGGCAATTTCCTTCCTTCCTTCACAGTCTTCTATCTATCTATCATCTATCTATCTATCTATCTATCTATCTATCTATTTGGCTATCTATCTATCTATCTATTTGGCTATCTATCTATCTATCTATTTATCTATCTCTATCTATCTATCTATCTATCTATCTGGCTATCTATCTATCTATCTATCATCTATCTCTATCATCTATCTATCTATCTATCTATCTATCTGGCTATCTATCTATCTATCTATCATCTATCTCTATCATCTATCTATCTATCTATCTATCTATCTGGCT